AAAGATGTCACTAGTCGTCATAAAAAGAAAGTTGACACGCTTCGTTGCAAGTTTTTGACGGAAATTGTATAACGCAAGTTAGATGGAGATTTGTAAACTTGTTAACGATAAGTTCGACTATTTAAGATAATGAGTAAATAACTCTGTCCAAACTGATTTACAATTATGGTCGAAATAGATAAATAAGATAATTAAGAAGAGCTCGAAACGACAAACATGAACCAGCTGTAACGTTTCAAAGCATTTTCTTCTGAAGGAAATAACTTTGAATCAGTTGATACGGTTGTGCCAGATATATAAAATGACCAGTAATATTAATCCGAACTTCTGTTCAATGCAACTTGGTACCGGCTTGAAAACACAATTAGATAGTTAAAGCAATAAAAACATTACACTTAAGATAGGCATTCCTACCTAAACTCTATTTATCGTATACTCCCATCCAGACGTAAGATCTTTATTTAGTCTAAAAACATCCTTTATACTTGACCGCCTGATTTTAGGGCATCAATCTGGACATAAAATGAAAAATTCCACGTAAAACTGACAAAACCCGACAAGCGACGTAAAAATTCCATGAAAATAATAACAAATAACGATCGTAGCTCCCCTGAGATAACCTACTTGTCATATGCTCAAATATCACTTTGATTTTTTAATGGCGTTGAGATATGAAAAAATAATTTACGCTCATACTTCTTGATATGGTTTGTGCTATCTGTAATGATCTGAAATATTATATTGACATGCTAATACATCGTAGAACAAGGATTTAAATGCAGATCGCAAACTTCCTGGTGTTTTCAGCATGTTGTTCAAAATGAGTATCATGTGTAGGATCATGAGCCCGCCATGTGCCCGCTATGTTCCTCGTGTTATTTGTTTGTGTAGCGAACAAGTCATGTGCATCTGCAATAGTTTCGACGTCGTTCAGTATAAATGAAATACACAATGGTCGTATATGTGATAATGGTCGTATATGTGATAATGGTCGTATATGTGATAATGGTCGTATATGTGATAATGGTCGTATATGTGATAATGGTCAGAAGAGAGTGTTCGACATTATGATGGTTACGATCTTACTGTGTTCTTTGCATACCGTGTTTCCCCATCTGTTGCTTGCAGCAAGTTTCTCTCATTTTGCGCATGCATGTGGTCATCATTAACTAAGAAAAGGCCATTTATTCCTGGTTTCATTCTTCATCTCTATGATTTAATGCAGTGACACAGCCTGCATTGTCTAACAATTCAGTTGGAGGGAACCCGAGGTGGATTGAATGACTCATTTTAGAATGATGCGGAGTTTGTTATTTTGAATTGCATTGATGCACCGGTCAGTGGGAAGGCAGGTCGGAACACTCAAAAATGTACTGGCAGGCCCTCTCCTGATAGAGTGAAGTCTTGTTCAGAGATAACACTGACATGTGTGAGGTTTAATAAGTGAATTTACACGCTTATTGAGCATCAGAGATACTGATGCCGGATAACTAATAATTTGAAGGTCCATCAGTGGGAAATTCAAAATTGAGGTATTTAAGATGTACATTCATGTCCATCCTTTCATATCCATCCTTTCATGCGCTTCGTGATCAATCGATGTATTTTGCACTCCGCGTCCAGTCATCGGAGTTAGGCAATTCAGTGAGTTCTATTTCTCCACAGTGAACCAGAGCAACAAAAATGGAATAGACTTCAAATCTTCTCAAAAGATGGCATAATAGACTAGGTGCGAGTAGAAATAATCTTGATTTACGTCATTAAATATTCAAAATTCAGTCAAAGTGATGTCATATTTGAAATCTGCATGTAAAAGTACATCTAGAAATATGGTTTCGAAAATTGTTTATCAACTTTGAAAATTTAATTTTTTTTGAAAATGTGACTTCTTGTTCGGGTTGATTCCCCATAGACCCCATGATACAACATCACAAAAAGTGAAATATCTTTTCTTGTATTGGAAAGATAACATTTTCTTTTACTGGACATATTTCAGTTAGCATAACTATTAGATACATAAGGGTTATATGAAAATTGAATCATTAAAACAGATGTGATTTAAGTTTAAGGGAACTTTCTCCTATACCTGCCATGCTATCTGACCCGAACGAGCCACCTGGTGGTGAATCTGGTAACTACCTACTCGCATCTGCGTTATTGGCGCACTTTTAGCGGCAAGCACAAGTACCTTGTTATTTTAAACGTTTCAATCAACGTCGGTTGAGACGCCATTAGCTGAGATAAGTCATTCATTCTCGCCCTTGTATTTGTATTGTTTCTATCCCGATTAATTTTGGGAAATTATTAAATTAAGGCGAGTGGGTAAGTTCAATTATTTTTTATTTTGTAGCAGGTCGTGTGGAAATTATTTTCCTATTTGCCTTTTTATTTTTATGTTTATCGATGCTAGATCCAGTGTTTTATTTCAGTATATACATGGTCGACATTCCTTATTTCGAGATGTTTAAAACAGACGCGCGGGCTACACGCTAAACATTTTTTATTTACATTTGCCTTAATAATGGAAGAGTAAACAAGATCTAATAAAGTTCCCCTGTGAAGCCGTTCGTATTTGTGATCAAATGTTCAAAAGTCGTAATAACGGGAGCTAAAGGAAGGTTGACTTAAGAGTAAATATGCACATTTATGCAAACAAATTTCGTTTCTTTATTTGAAATAAGTTTGTTAATTCAATAATCTGAATCAAGGGATAACGTTCCAATTCGGATTCTGATTTGTTAAATCATGTCACATGATATCCTTTGGTTTTTGCAAACTGAAAAGTTCTATAGAAATTCAAAGACATTTCAAACCCAATCCCCTGAAAGACCAATAATGCTTGTGGACTGTATTCGATCTTTATTCAGCATTTGTGTACTTTATTTTGAGTTATTCGGAGTAAAGTTTGAATATTCTCAGTTGCAAATATACTTAAAGAGAACTAAAATGACCAAAATGATCAGGACATATAGAATTTAGTGACCAGACTTTCAAAACGAGATTATACTTAAACGGCGGAAATGTATAATATTTCATCGTAAGTTAGATTCTAATATTGCCAGTTATTTTCAATGTTGAATTTATTCACTTTAATATGAGGAGCGCATTCGTAATAATCCATTGGATATTAGAGTAGAATGTATTATTTTACTCGGTAAGTTTAGACTAGTGCTGATTATATTTTGTTTAACACAATACTAAATATAAGAACGTTTGTAGCCTTAAATATTTTCACAATAAGTAATTATATAATCTCTGTATTTGCGTTCATTCCTCACAAGTTCTGTAGAATTAATTGCGATCAGGTTCGGTAGACCAACTATAACACAGTGAATAAGACTCTAAAATTCATTCATAAGTACATGGAATGGAATGCAAGTTTTGTACTTAGGTAGGGATTCGTTTAAGATTTTATACTTTCCGTGACTATTGACCAATAATTTTGTTCTATAATGGAATCGAAGTAGTATGGATAGTTTTGGTGGAACCTCTCTTATTCTGGTGATAGGATAGCCATACACTAATTTTGATTTGTACTATTGGTGCGATGTATCTAATTTTCAGTGATTTTCCAACTTTGCCTATATACTCTTGTAATCTTCTATGTAAAATATTATGTAAGTTAGTATGTTAAACATATGTATACCTGTTAGTGATATATAATCACATAGGATTATAACGATGTGATAATATAAGCGTTAGAGCAACACACTTCAGCTGTGGTTGAAACATAAAAATATCAAAATCTCTTACCTTACCTTGTTATTTCTATCTATAATAGTTACAATCAGGGCTAGAGTTCAAATACATTGAAGAGAAATGTTCAATCATTGTATCCACGATATTAAAATAAAACCATGTCATGCCTTGGTGACGCCACTCTTGATCGAATTTATGATTTGGGTAATAGTTACGATATTCAAACTGAATATGGACGTTCTGAGTCGATTTTGCATTGAGAAAACATAATATTGCAAAGGTGGCATAACTCTGATTTTGGCATTCCTCTTTCGCTCAGCTTCATTTAGGTAGGGATATCCCGTACTCTGGTCACATGATTTGGTTTTGTCCAATCAAACTTGCATTTGGGTGAATACATCTCGGGATGAGAGAATCTCTTTTCGTATTTATTTATAAAATTTTGACAAGTGGGGAGGCTGGAAACAAAGTTGGTCTTAGTACCAACACACTTATTCATGACAGAATGTGTTGGCTTATACAATTTTTGGAAGGAAATAATGAGAAAATAATGAGGTCGGCAAAGGAAAATACAATTAAAAAGAGGCGCTTTCTACACGCGAGGCTTTAGGGAGTCCTATAAATTGTATAATGGTCACAAATTAATCAATTGGATATTATCTCATAACTTATGTCAGGTAACATACTTAGGTAAGAAATACATGTCGAATACACGTTTGTGAATGCTGCACAGTGTGTTATGGAATATGTCTGTTATGCAGGAGAATCTTAAGATAACATCAAATATGATTAATTTAACTTAAATAGATTTGAAACTAATAATGCATTGGTTTCCGAATATAGGTGTATAGTCCATCATATTGTCTAACAGAAGGTGTTGTTCCAATGCCATTAACAAAATAAATTAGTAAACCGCTTAATTTTTGTTAAGATTTTAGGTTTTCCTGATCTTCTACTCCTTGGAGCTTCCCTGGGGGACGAGACGAACAGATTCCTAACTAATTTAAACTCACTAATTAGCACCCGAGAAGTATAATTCCTAAAACAGAAGAGCAACCCATGGCGTTTCTTTACTCACTTCACTTAGTGAATAATAGCACTCGATAATGAACACAAGAGGAACGACCCCATCAACCCCTTTCTATCACCTGACCTTGTTCGACCAATCAGAATACCCTTTCAATAGACACATATGTAGTCTACAAACAGTGTTAATTAATTTCCCCCCACTAATTGATTTGTTTCTTTTATTTTCATCTCCTCCCGTCTGGTTTGTTGCGCTGTATGGAACGGTTTCACAGCATCGTCAGCAAGGTCGCTAAGCTCGAAGTACGGACCGACGACGATTGGTGTGATAGGTTATGCCACAGATATACGACGATAGTGCTCGTCATATTTGCAATAGTAGTCAGTACGAAACAGTACGTAGGTAAGTGGCACATAAATCAATTAAAGCTAATTAAAAACTAATAGCTATTGCTAACTTGAATGCATTCAAATAATCAATTTGTTAATTATAGTATAGGTATCTACATATGATGTAAGATTTATTAATTTTATCTTATGGACACTTACATTTGGGTTTGCATCAATTCTCTGCTAAACTCAGATCGTATTTCCCACAGTGTTTCATGGAGAGTACGTGGGGTGGGCTACAGGGACTTGATGTGCAATATTAGCAATTTGCTCAAAAATGAACTTTATTTTATAATGTGAAATTTCAATATAATTATGTACCATAAGCCTGTAAACAATTCGTCCAATGCGTCTATGTGCAGTATGGCAAGTGATTTTCGACGGTCATATCTTTCACCGTTGGTACTTTCTGACCATAACTACAGTCATTTTTATTAAAACCGTATGTATTATTTCAAATGAAGTACCCATAATAGTAAAATATCAATCCAATCTGAAAAATTATGGATAAGGACCCCACCTTGGTATTTTTTTAAGAATGTTAGGCTTTTCGAAAAAGAGGATATTTTTTCTCAATTTTAACATATCGAAAGTTTCCTCTACACTTTATTAACAATTTCTGAAAAGGGGATGTGTATTCGTTAAAGTTAAAAACCACATATCCCATGTTATTTTCCCATAGAGAGAACTCGTGCTATCTATTGTTTTCAGCATAATTTTGTCATCGAAAATTGATATCTTCAGAACTAGAATTTCAATACCATTCTAATTTTGAAGAAGTTTTAGACCCCTTGTTGATTAATCTTTTCATGCAATAAAAATCAGAAAAAGAAGATCCACTTTTGAGTAAATAGGTTCTACATTTTGTTAAAAATATGGCATGGGGTCCCTATTTATAATTTTTTGAATTGTTCGACTCATATTTTTTATCATCATGGGTATTTCACTTGAAAGAAAACATATTGTTTTAATAAAAATTTAAAACCACCGTATTCATGCCCATAAAGCACTCATGGTGAAATATATGACTGTCTAAAATCATACTGCACATGGACCTTTACTTAAATGCATATCGAGCACCAGGGCCTAGTAGATTAGGAAAAGGATTATTACTATACAGTTTTGATACTGATAAGTTCCAGATGACCACAAAATGTAGCTGCTAAGAGAGTTATTATTATGCAAAAAAGCCTACAATTCATCATTGATGCACAATTCGGTGAATGTGCAATTTCGATTGATTGGTTATGGTTATAATAAGAGCCAATAAGGAAGAAGCTCTCTTTTAGATTATTTTTATTTGGATGGGGCATTTCATTTGTTGATATGCATATCAACATATGAAACTAACTCATATACTATAAAAAGTATTTAGTTATGGTCAAATCTATTGTTAACCCTTTCACGACGATAGGCTCCATATGGAGCCCCATTATGTAATACCTTTCAGGACGATAGGCTCCTTTTGGCACCATTATTTTTATCTATATACATCAATGAAATGACAATATCTCCAGTTCTATTCAATATTTTTACACCAAATTTTGACAAGTTGTTCTAATGTGATAATCCTTACTAAAAATTGTATTTCAGTGATAAAATTCAGGGTATAGGTCCCGGGGCGTAGGTATTTTGCAGTTTTCCCCTAAAAACTGCTCTTACTTATCCGTCACCAGGGCCAACATTTTCCTCTTATATTCACGTCGGGAAAGGGTTAATATGCCTATACTTTACAATATATCCCAATAACATGTACTTTAAGTGACTTAATTTAATGAGACCTCGATCGTTTCTCATTTTTGATAGGAATGTGGAGAATCCTCATTTGAAATTGTAATTGTGGTTATGTTATGTTATATTCGTTGTCAGCTTCAAGAAGATCATAAACAATTTTGATGTATTCGTACATGACGAGTATTCGAATTATCTCAAGTATTATATAGAACAATTACATTTTACTTTAAACTGGATGAAAAATTAGATACTAGAATAGTAGATACCTGGTTAATGGTGATGGCGCGTCATATTCAGGGATGGACAAATAAGGCAGTCTGTTTGCAATTATTAGACACCTACTGATGTCCTAACAGCGTCTATACTCATCAGTGACAAATATGTGCCCAACTTAACCGCATTTGCGTTCCTTACCTTGGGGGTCTCTTGCATGGCAGAAGAGCACTTGATAGATACCAGGCAATTATTTTATATCGTTTTATATTATTTTAGATATCCTTTGAATTAAGACTACGTTTATGCAATGTCTTTCTGATAAAGAACGCATATTTGAGCCAATAGGAATGAAACCATCTGATATTAGGAATTATTTCGCATTTCTCTCTCAGTCTCTGAATTGAGCTAGCTCATATCCTGCACACCTGGTTTCGTATAATTCTTCCCTGTGTACACCTGATGAAAACATTAAGTCAGTAGTATGAGGAATGAGTGTTTGGGTTAACGTTCAGAATTATTAATCTCACTGCGCAAAAATAAATAATAACAAAGAAATGTATGTTGTGAATATTTGCTTATTGCATTATATAAACCAGCTCAGGGCATTAGAACAGAAAGACAAGGAAAGTTCGAATTTAAAGACCCTTCTTTCAAGTTTATTTTCACCAATTTCACCAAACATTGTCAAATGAATTTCAAGAAATAAGGCGTATCTAAGTTTGTTAATATTCAATATTCAGAATATATTTCGACCAGTTGACTTCTTTATGAGCCGTGCCTGTAAAAAGAACAACCAAACCAAAAATGGCAGATATGCGAAAAATCTAGCAATGTGGTTCAGACATTATAGGGCCAAAATAGCATCCTATTTAGAGATTATTCTTTGACCAACCCATCGTGTGTACTTACGTGTGGTTATAGGTGAACGGTCGAAATATTGACTATTATCTTGATTATAAACATGACAATCACCCCACATCTGCCGACTACATACCCTCAAAACATCACTGATTACAAATATGTTTCAACACAAGACCGCGAAGCTGCGTTTCTAGCTACACAGGGTCTAAACCTTTTAAGAACCCACAGAGAGTTCCCAATCTCCATAACAACATACTTCTGTCAATATCCTTGTTATATCCCCTAATTGATGTTAATTAATAATCACTTTATGATATCTAATCTACCTGTCCATTAGATTACCCACATTTCAACACTTACCTACTAGTAAACATTTAGTTATTAATAGTTGATGCAACATAAATGTTATGGAGCACTTTAACAGTATGAACCTAAACACTATCTATGGTGCGTTTAATATCAGAACGGTGTGTCACTAATGGGACACATTCTAGACCAGTTGGCGCATGACGTCATTCGGTGACATAAATGTTTCAAAATTCATCGGAATGTATCTGCGTCTTTGGGGCTTTTTATCGCCTAGTCTGGAAACGTGTTGATTTTTGATCGTCAAATCACCAAAGGATACACTTGTTATAGCTAGTCTACGTATTGTATTCCACGGACATCATCTAACTCAATTTCGTGTTTCTTAGTAAGAAATTATGATAAAAAGACGCCACTTCATTGTACCCAGAGACCTACACTATCTAATCAAATATGCACAATTTTTTATATTGACGGACTTTTTGACTGTATACATTTTCTGTCTAGCAGGTTGTGTAGTATTAATATCAAATACTTATTAATTATCTACGTTTGTTTTTTGGTCGATATTACTGGACATTTATTTCTTTCTTCCAGTGCATCTATTTTCATCTAAACTCCACGTATTCTCTCTGAAACGAATGCTTTGATCAAGATGGTTATACATATATATGGTGTACCCAGGGGTCTAATAAAATGTTTATGTTATAATAATTCATGATATAATTATGTTTCGTAACCGTGCAAAAATTGGTATCACCAATTAATCTAGAGCTATTTTGATATCCCTTGTTGAGGTATGGGAGATTAATGGGGGATTAATTCTTGTGTGTTTTAGTCGGATATGTTGTTGGTAATTGTGTTCAAGAGTGCAACGAAAACAATTCAAACTAAGAACGTCAACCTATAGGTACATGTAGGTCCTATGGTAAAGCATGAGGCCAAATTTGGCCAATGAATAGCAGCTAGCTACCTTTTCAATGTTGATTTCCAGCTAAAAATATGGATTTCTATAAAATTACAAAATGTTTTACTGAATATCCTGGCGATCTTCCGATTTCGATAATTCGGCAGAGTTCATCATTCGCCATCCGCACGACCAGCTGCCTGTAAGATGGGTCAATGCCTGGAGACCCTAACGAGCGAAACATACCTGACAGAAAATAGCAGTAAAACAAACACAGATATTCTTAGTTTTGTCTATGTGCAGGTATATCATTTCTCTCAACGGATATTTAGAGGTTATCCGAGACTTGTACAGCTGGTTTCACGATTTTGTGGGGTTTTAATGAATTTCCACCTCGTTACGATGGGACCATAATTATCTCCGTTGGTTTAAAATGTATCTAATTTTTAACTCGACTTTAAGATTGACTTTCGCGGGCAATGAATTAATCAAAATAAAGTACAATGTATGTTTTAAGAAGAAAAAAACAAATTGTTTATTAAAATAGTTCTGGATGAGTCAATGTTTCAGTACCTTTTTAGATCGTGCCAAACTGTGAAACGTACTTCTGTTCGATTTCACGATTCATAATTTCCATTTAATTTTTCAATTTCATAAATTTTATTTTTACCAAAGGTTGGGTGGAAATTTTAAAGTTACACGTCGATTAGTTTGAATTTTCCATTAGCTCATTGTTGAAGGCCCATGGTGCAACCTTTGCGTTACAGTATGATCTCATCAGGGAAAAGTGCTGACACCGTATAATATTTTAGGTTATGTTTTGAATTGTTTCTAAAGAGCAAAATGTTTAAGGTTAGAGCATAGCAACAATATATTGCTAGCTTATTACAAGAAACAATGAAACTGTGGCATATCTGAAGTCGACTATACGCGGTGGATTATCATAAATGTGAGACGTAACGCCAGAACGTCGTGATCTGGCGAACCCGAACACATCAATCAAGCCTCCATATGTTCGTGCTGGTCTTTCCTTGCTGATCTTTCTACTGGGTTTTAGTTATTCAGTGGTATGACTATTAAATCGATCTCAATTATACCACCTATTGCAACTGTGGTAGTCTCTTGAGCTCTGCGACACCGTCTCTCCCTAATGTATACATCGTGTAAATATAAAAGATGGAGTAAATGTAGACAGGGAGAGGATATTCAAAGATTTGATATGTTAAACAACGGAGAACGTTGAATTTGGCTATTGAACTATCTCCTGCGGAAACGTGCACTGTTGACCATATTCCTTAAATCAATGCGCTGAAATACTGATTGGTTGAGACACACTTGGCATATTTGAATTCTCTTTAATAAATACACAATTTGACAAAGTTATCTTCACGAATCATCATTAATTCTCCGAAAACCATGGATTAGCACCCTACATACTTCAACACATTTTTCAAAATATCTAACTCTACTAAAAATGATTTTGTTTTTCTCATTTTATTTTTATTGCATAAGTTTAAATAGATTGTACAAGAAGAGATTTATATTGTATAAGATATATCGAATTGCATTAAAAGCCTAATTTGGAAGATATCAGATTTTAGTGACCATTATTAGACTGAAAACAATGGACCGCGTGAGTCATTTTCAATTTATCGCTTTTCAATTCTCTTCCCATTTCAGAAGTTATTAACATGGTGCAGAGGAAACCTTCCATGTAGTTAAAATGAGAAAAAGAAGGTCATTTTTCCAAACAATAAGTCTATATAGCATTCTGAAAAATGTATCAAGTCCTAAGCAATGGTTATTCGGACAGACGAATTGATAGTTTTAGTATCCTGGTAATCTTACTTTGATGAAAACATATTTCAAAAAATTAATGTTATGTTAAGCAGAAAAAGGGAGATGTCCGAATTAACTGCAGTAATTAAGGAACAGTAGTTGGTGAGTCACTGTGTAAACGTTCCTACTATTGAACTAGCTATGCCATCCACCTGTCCTGCATACTACTGAATATATAACAAACAGCATGTATTTTTACTTATTGACTACAGTATGCTGCATACCAAAGTAGCACAAATTAAAGGGGTTGTTTGGTAGGTGCTTAAAATATGGGTTTCCTCGGAACCGTGCGATAGACCGACTCGAGTCTAGCTGTTTCATCAAGTTAAAATGCAAGATCCGCAAGTAGTAATAACATATTGTGTCTACCCCTAGAATTATGATGACCCAAGACAGCCTAAATCTGAATGATGACCTGGGAGGTGATATTAATGGGTGGAGTGAGGGCAATACCATTATATTCAATCTTATTAATCTCGCATCGAAACGTGATTTGAATTGATTTTACATAGCCATACATTCATAGTAATTGCATCATTTGGTCGTTCAGCAAAATGTTTAACAAAATATATAAAAGTATTTATTTACAGGTAATCTTGGAATCTAGTCTCTAAGAAAATGCAGTTACCCGATGAATTTCCAAGGCCCAATGACACGAAGAATTTCCTGTTTTTACGGGACCTAATAATTAACGTCCTGAATATATGTTTTTAGAAAACTCAACAGCAAGATGAATTTATGTTTTTCAGGGGTCCCAAGATCACATTGAATACTATTTTTCAGCAGTCATAATATAATATTGAATACTATTTTTCAGGACGGTCCCAATCACGTCTTAAATATCTGTTTTTCAGGAGACAGAATGACGTGCTGAATTTTTGTATAGAGGGTCCGAATAACGTGTTCCATGACTGTTCCAAGAGTACAAATAACGTGTTGAATGACTGTTCAAAGAGTCCGAATAACGTGTTGAATTTCTGTTTTTCAGGGGACCCAATAACGTGTTGGTGTCCTGCGCACTTTACCAGTCAACATGTGCAGTACACAGACGATGTATGCTGGATATCAAACACATACTACCACCCCATGCATGACCCTGTGCCACGAGAGAGTAAGTACCACGGGACCCGATTTCCATATGCGAACCTTGGGCAAAATACCTTTTATGTTTGTCTCAGATGAATATTAGTTGAAAAATGTTGAGACACTGCTATCACTGTACTTTTTAGTCATATATTTACTAATTTATTATATTTATAAAATATTATATATTTTATGCGCATATAAACTAGACTAAACTGGCCAAATATTTAATCTCCTACAAAATGGTGGAGCTGCCACTCAGACATAATGTTTATTTTTCAGATGAGCCACGTGACTTCGAAGTCACATATTACCAGTGGGTGCCAATGTTCCTGCTCATCCAAGCAGTTCTATTCTACATCCCCAATATGCTATGGCATGTCTTCAATGACAAGGCAGGGGTCAACATTCATAACATAATTGACGCAGCTAGTATATTAGCACAAGTCTATTCTGAGTCGAGAGAAAAGACGATGAAATACCTACTAAGACATATGGATCGCTATCTTGATAGCAATCGGGAATATAGAAATAATTGCATAATACGAATCAAACAGTTCCTAAGTCAAAACTGCTGTATGATTTGTGGAAAACGCTATGGGAATTATTTAATAGTGCTGTATTTGGTTATCAAGTTGTTTTATTTAGCAAACGTTATTGGACAGCTGTTCCTTCTGAATGCTTTCCTCGGGACTAGGTACAACATGTACGGATTCTCAGTACTCCGGGACCTCGTCAATGGCTCTGATTGGCAGACAAGTGAGATCTTCCCCAGAGTGACGCTTTGTAGCTTTAAGATACGGGCTTTGGGTAAGGATAAATTAATGAAAGACTAACTATTACGTCGTTTAGTTTGTGTTCATGGTAATTTAGCTAAACAGCTATTGCGTCCAAAGTCCTTATGCTGTTCTGCATTTATCATTTTATTACGAGGGACGTCATTTAAAATTTCCAAACGTGCTGCTAATTATTGTTCTCACCAATATAAACTTTAAATATTTTTAAAATATATATATAATAGTATTTTTCCATTTCAGGAAATGTCCAAAGGCACACAGTACAATGCGTTCTACCAATAAATCTATTCAATGAAAAAATCTACATTTTTATTTGGTTTTGGTACGTTTTTGTTGCCGTATCAGTGTTGGGCAACTTCTTACAATGGTTTTGGCACTCGTTTAGAGTCGCAAGGATACGGTATATCAAGAAGCACTTAAAAGTAATGGATCGTATCACTGGTGAAGCCGATAAAAAATTATTCCAAAAATTTACAGAACGCTACTTGCGTCAGGATGGGTACCTTATATTGAGGTTGATTTCTAAAAATGTGAGTGATTTAGTGGTAGCAGAAGTGATAGCAGGGCTATGGGATAACTATAAACGAAACAGACCAATGACCCTGCGAGGGGGGACAGACGATGAGAGTAATATCTGATATCAAAACGGATGGGTTCCTAAATGATCTTCTTCACCAAATTAAAATCAGGCTCCATACAGCCAATGGAGTTTGATTGACATATACAAGCGGATGCAGCCGACATGCGAGCGATGTACACATATTTAATGACGCAGTCCGGGGACATCACGCGAGAGCGTCGCATCGGCTCAATCCACCCAAGAATGAGATGTCCATTTGGATGCATGACAAGTGACGCGTCTTCTTTACACGTCTGTAAAAATATGTAAGATCAAGCCAGAGAGGATCTACTACATAGGCCGGACAAGGAGTTGCACCGTGTCCGTTACACAGTTAAGACCTTGTGAATCTCATCAGGATAGAAGAATAGAAGAGGAACAGCGAACAAGGGGACAAACAGAACAAATTATTAATACCACGTAATGCCATATTATTAGTCTTCCAACGGAACACTGCTTTGTGCACAACTATGCATGTTACATCTTCAATTTGATCATCACGCTTTGGTTCAGTATATAAGATACATGTACAAATACTACGACTACCATAATCTATGCAATTAATCTAAAAGTCATGAACTTGTAAATATTGGTGTTAGATATAAATAATTGTATCCAGGTAAGGCCCGTATGACCTTATTTGGAATATTGATCTCAAAGGTTAAAGGTCATAGACCAAAGGTCACAAAGGTCAATGTCCCTAGGAACCCATCCAGAGAAGATATGTAATTTTCCAGTTTAAATTCTAATTGAATTGTCATACACTTTAATGTTTTTGTTGTTAGTAGTCGTCCGTTTAGAATGTTATAGTTTAACTTGCAATCGAAATGTCATGTTCTAGATCTAGCCTAGCGAATTGTATAATTCATACGAAGGAAGACTCAGTTAAATGATCACTCCCTCAATATCTTACTGGAGTTCTTAAGTCAACTAGCTTAGCGAGTTTTACATTTTTGAGGTATAAGTGGAGCACTAAAACAAAGAGATGCCACAAAGGAATATACGAGTATTATTGAAACGAGAGACGGTAGATCCAAATTCCAATTCTAAATCCGTTAATGTATACGTTATATGTTTATCAAAATCACCACTTGGATCTTTGGCCAAATAAATCTAATATAATATACAGAATATGATTTATGCCCCATCACAGATACATATACCATGCCCCATCACAGACGATGGTGAGCATTGGTTGATTGGCGTATTGGTATTGATGTATCTTGGTGTAGTGTATCTTCTTGTTCATACAGATCAAACATATTTATTCAGAATAAATTAACTCTGACTTGAAGCCCAACGAAGACTCAATATTTGGATTGAACGCCATCTATTGACAGTCTCACAGAACATAAGACATATTTTCTATGGATTGTGCGCTGGACGAAGATTATTAAGCCATATCCAGTTCTTGGATATTTATGGAGTACATGGCTCTTGTTATCTTATATTTCTAGTGTATATCATACATAGGCCATGCACAATTCATTCTTACTATTGTTTTGTTTATATTATTAATCCTAGTCTGTTATTGTCTTTCAAGAGCTTAGATTCATTTAGATAAAACGCATACTATATGTGTATGCAGGGCTTTAGCTAAGGACTGGTTCGCTGGTTAATGCCAGGTATATTTTGACACAGACCAGTTGATTTATTTTACAACATAGGAAAATAACATTGCATCTGGTCATTCTTTTTGACCAGCTGATCTCTGTTCCTTAGATAGAACCCTGACTATATGTAATTAGCATTACAGTAAGAATTGCCAAGAAGTTGCACTGTACAGTACAACCTGTGTAAATAGAACACCCTTAGGATCCCAAAAGGTGTTCCACTTGAGAGGTGTTCCACTTGAGAGGTGTTCCACTGCATTAACATGCAGTAAATGGGCCATGGGACTTTAAGACTGTTCCACTTGTGGGCAGTGTAGGCTCTAAGGATCTGAAACCTGCTGGTCAAAATGTAAGTATGGACCAGTTGCAGTGCTATTTTCCAATACCTAGGGAAAAATCAACTGGTCCGTATCAAAAATAGCCTGGGAATGACCAGCGGACCAGTCCTTAAGGCCCACACTGCTTGTGAGGTGTTCCATTTTACGAGGTGTTCCATTAAGTAGGTTCTACTGTACAGGGTTGGCCAAAAAACGTCTTTATTTTTTAGGTTTTGTGTTTTAGTGTTTTCAGGATCAATTGCAAGTGAATCCTGCATTCCCTGCGAAAATTTCATCAAAATTAAAAATATGGACGTTTTTGGTCTTTCTTACTTGGTATATGTAAATGATACTCATTTGTGCAATGCTTAATATCCAGATATTTTCAAAATATAGTCTTGAACTGTCAAAGAAACTGGACTTCTCCATCCAAAAAACCTTCCTGTTCAAATCAATTCAAAATTCTCATTGCATAAATAAGGCAAAACCAAACCAGATAATCTGATTTAATTCTTACTGTAATTCTCTAGTACTGTACATTTACATGAACAGAATTATATATTGTATTCTACATACATGTTAATATGATAAGTTCTCAAAGAACTATTATCAATCATAATGTTAAATCTTTTATAGAACATAATTATGTAGCTTAATTTAACTTTTTTTTAAAAATGTGTTGTGCCTTGTTAGATGGTCAAAGAATATCTTTTTCCAGTTTCTAGTTGTTTTTTGAACTTTTAAAGTCCGTAAAACTATTGCTATGTAATCTATAGAGTATTTTTGCTCAAAATAGATGTCCTCATATAATTTGCAACTGAACATGTCATGTATATCAGCTGTCACTTTATTTATTCAAAACGAGGTCAGGTCCCTACAGATTAATTCACTGTTTAGCAGGATTTTTGTAATAAATGACAGTTGCGCTTTTCTCTTTCTAATTTTACTCAAAAATACATATATGAATTAAAGATAAAAATCAGAAAATTCTCCAAACCTTCAAGTATCTAAGTCAAGATTGAGGATGGAGGATTTGGGATGGTCAGATAGATCCTGATAAACAGATATATATTACTAATAATTAATTTGTAGGGGCCTCACACAGTATTCACTGTACATAAAGAACAGTTAATGATCATCACCAACAATGTAGAAATATTAACAATGCAGAAATAAAAAAAGTAGTTAACATTTTTTAACTACTGTGCTACTTTATATATTATTTTTATGTTAAAATTTACAATGATATAACACAAATTTCTTACATTTTCCACTGTCCATCTATTTCTTTTATTTAATAACAGCCACACATTAGTTGCAAAATGTACAAAATTATATTCAAGTGAAAATACAAACATCTGAGAGGCCAACTCCAACATCACAATTGATATTTTTTGATTGTCATTTTCCAAATGCAAATTCAATTGACCATTTGCAATAATAAAGATGGATAAATAGATGGCAGCATGTGTGTTGGTAGGGCTAGATATACAGCAATATCAATTGGAAAAACAGACAAGTCATTGAAATTCTTGCTTTATTTAATATTTCAAATGGATTTATGGAAACTCTCTTGGCAGACAACTAGTTGACATGTGGGTTATGATAAACCTTAAAATTGTTATCCTTACTAAAAGAATAAATAACTTTTTAAGATTTTTTTTACAGTGTCAATGTGGATTAAGCTCAACCTTTTTGGAAAAGTTAAAAATCCTTGGAAATCAAGGATGATTGGCCCGAAACTTGATGTTTTCTAACAATGAATGTTTTTTTCTGAAATTAAAACAAATTATAAATGCAAAAATGGATTCGAACCAAGATCTCGATCAATTTCTTCTGAGTTTTGGAATTTTTTGTTTGGAATAAGACCAAAATTTATGATTCAAATGTTGAAGTGAACAAAATGGCGGCTGTTTGAATTCGAATTTTGCATCATGCCATGCCCATATATGGGACATAATATCGATGTTGCACTCTGGAAGCAAATCCTCCTTGCTTGGAAATTGAACAAATTAAAATAAACTGGGTAAATTAAAGATCTTCTTAAAAAATATACAAAGAATTAAAATATGTCATAAAACAGAAGAAAATGCAAATCCCTTCTAACATATTTTCCAATAGTTTGACTTTGTTTCTTTACTAGAGAGCTTCATCTTCCTTCTTTGAGTAAATTATATTCTTTGCCTAGTGTGATTCCTTTATTTATAAACACATATTGAAACGTCCATGACAGGTACCTCATTGGTTCAATAACATCTGAATCAAAGCTCTCATTTAGATGGTAGGAATTCCTCCCTCTCTTGGTCTAAGGATAGTGACAACTGTCATATGGTAAACAATAGATTCATTAAAGGAAAGCCTCTAAAGGAATGCTAGTGCACTAGTGAAGAGAAATCCATCAGGGGAATAGATTCATTATTGATTGTACATCTAGTTTGAAATTTGTCCAGGTTTTTGATGAGAATTCATGGTCCTTTTTTGATCGTCTTGGTCTTGAGGTTTTTGTATAATTTCGTTCTTCCTCAGAGGAATCTGGAAATAGTTTTTAAATCATATTAACTAAAATAAAATATAATTACCAAATAAAACATAATAATTACTAAATAAAATATCATTACTTAAAATATAATTTTTGTAACGCCAGTTGGCAATCAGCGGTTGTATATCTCTGGCTGTATCAAATTCTTACAACATCCAATAACTTAAATACTGTTCAGACTGACACTTCAATTTTTTCAAAATCATCTACATGTTGTCAGAAGTTCAAATCTGACTTTAGATTTAAGATTTGACCTTCTCAAGGTAAAAAATTATAAATAAAAAGGCCAAAAAGGTCTTTTTTCAACTTGCTTCATATTGACCAATTTTTTTTTTAAATCGTCAAGATCTCAAAAGTTCAAATCTGACTTTAGATTTGATATTTCACCTTCAATGACCTTCTCAAGGTCAAAGGGGTATTTTTCAAATTGCTAAAAATTGACCAATTTTTTCTCAAAATCATCTATAAATTCTCAAAAGTACAAATCTGAGTATAGATATAGATTTGACCTTCAATGACCTGCTCAAGATCAAAAAAAGTTTGACCTTCAATGAACTCAAGGTCAAAAAAAGTTTTTTCCAACTTGCTTCAAATTGACCTTTTGCGATCAGAAATCAGGAATTTTGTTTATGGATACTGTTGTCACGTATTTCGTCTTATTGGTATGACGTCATATAGAAATGATATTAGACATGATGGAATCACGAAATGGCGGACACGTGGCAGTTTTGAGCTAAAAATATTGTCGTTTCTTATATAAAAACCATGGGTCGGATATTTACCAGGTATGCCTATTTGACTAGATCATGAGTTTGTCTATATATATGCGAAGTTTGGGTGAAATTCATACTAAACATCGATGCCTATAAGCGCCCCCCGTTTTTGTCAAAATCGGGGGGCGCTAAACCGCTATCTAAATCATGTCAGTAAGACCTTAGACTTGGTATGTGCTTAGCATGAATGTTGATCTAGTCAAATAGAACGCTTTCGTGAAAAATAAATCAATAAAGCACGAAATATAGAAGATAATCTCTCAAAATCAAGCATCTAAAGCTGGGTGGCCTAATTGTGACGTCACTAAAAGACAGAATCCATTCGGTGATCGCAAATCATCAATTGATCATATCTTTTTTTGAAATCATCTACAAATTCTCAGAAGTTCAAGTCTAACTTTAGATTTGAGAATTTACTTTCAATGACCTTCTCCAGGTCAGAAAGTGTCTTTTGTCTTGCTTTCTTCAAATCAAATCATCTACAAGTTTTGAGAAATTCAAATCTGACTTAAGATTGAACTATATGATAATATTGAGCAACTAGGCAATGACATTTTGTCATGAAATGCCTTGTTTTACTGTAAAAGGAATCTTTGGCTTATATTGTAGTCTGGGACACTAACCTGTTATATTTGGCTGTGGCTTTGCATCATTAGACACCTCAGTATAAGTACCATCCCTGTTCTACAAACAACAAAACAATCATATCTCTTATATTTGGCTGTAGTCTGGTGTCATACTTCATTAGACACTTCAGTAGAAGTACCATCCCTGTTCTACAAACAACAAAACAATCATATCTCTTATATTTGGCTGTAGCCTGGTGTCATACTTCATGAGACACTTCAGTATAAGTACCATCCCTGTTCTACAAACAACAAAACAATCATATCTCTTATATTTGGCTGTAGTCTGGTGTCATACTTCATTAGACACTTCAGTAGAAGTACCATCCCTGTTCTACAAACAACAAAACAATCATATCTCTTATATTTGGCTGTAGTCTGGTGTCATACTTCATTAGACACTTCAGTAGAAGTACCATCCCTGTTCTACAAACAAAACAATCATATCTCTTATATTTGGCTATAGTCTGGTGTCATACTTAATTAGACACTTCAGTAGAAGTACCATCCCTGTTCTACAAACAACAAAACAATCATATCTCTTATATTTGGCTGTAGTCTGGTGTCATACTTCATTAGACACTTCAGTAGAAGTACCATCCCTGTTCTACAAACAACAAAACAATCATATCTCTTATATTTGGCTGTAGTCTGGTGTCATACTTCATTAGACACTTCAGTAGAAGTACCATCCCTGTTCTACAAACAAAACAATCATATCTCTTATATTTGGCTGTAGTCTGGTGTCATACTTCATTAGACACTTCAGTAGAAGTACCATCCCTGTTCTACAAACAACAAAACAATCATATCTCTTATATTTGGCTGTAGCCTGGTGTCATACTTCATGAGACACTTCAGTAGAAGTACCATCCCTGTTCTACAAACAACAAAACAATCATATCTCTTATATTTGGCTGTAGTCTGGTGTCATACTTCATTAGACGATTCAGTAGAAGTACCATCCCTGTTCTACAAACAACAAAACAATCATATCTCTTATATTTGGCTGTAGCCTGGTGTCATACTTCATTAGACACTTCAGTAGAAGTACCATCCCTGTTCTACAAACAACAAAACAATCATATCTCTTATATTTGGCTGTAGTCTGGTGTCATACTTCATTAGACACTTCAGTAGAAGTACCATCCCTGTTCTACAAACAACAAAACAATCATATCTCTTATATTTGGCTGTAGCCTGGTGTCATACTTCATTAGACACTTCAGTAGAAGTACCATCCCTGTTCTACAAACAACAAAACAATCATATCTCTTATATTTGGCTGTAGTCTGGTGTCATACTTCATTAGACACTTCAGTAGAAGTACCATCCCTGTTCTACAAACAACAAAACAATCATATCTCTTATATTTGGCTGTAGCCTGGTGTCATACTTCATTAGACACTTCAGTAGAAGTACCATCCCTGTTCTACAAACAACAAAACAATCATATCTCTTATATTTGGCTGTAGTCTGGTGTCATACTTCATTAGACACTTCAGTAGAAGTACCATCCCTGTTCTACAAACAACAAAACAATCATATCTCTTATATTTGGCTGTAGTCTGGTGTCATACTTCATTAGACGATTCAGTAGAAGTACCATCCCTGTTCTACAAACAACAAAACAATCATATCTCTTATATTTGGCTGTAGCCTGGTGTCATACTTCATTAGACGATTCAGTAGAAGTACCATCCCTGTTCTACAAACAACAAAACAATCATATCTCTTATATTTGGCTGTAGCCTGGTGTCATACTTCATTAGACACTTCAGTAGAAGTACCATCCCTGTTCTACAAACAACAAAACAATCATATCTCTTATATTTGGCTGTAGTCTGGTGTCATACTTCATTAGACACTTCAGTAGAAGTACCATCCCTGTTCTACAAACAAAACAATCATATCTCTTATATTTGGCTATAGTCTGGTGTCATACTTCATGAGACACTTCAGTATAAGTACCATCCCTGTTCTACAAACAACAAAACAATCATATCTCTTATATTTGGCTGTAGTCTGGTGTCATACTTCATTAGACACTTCAGTAGAAGTACCATCCCTGTTCTACAAACAACAAAACAATCATATCTCTTATATTTGGCTGTAGTCTGGTGTCATACTTCATTAGACACTTCAGTAGAAGTACCATCCCTGTTCTACAAACAAAACAATCATATCTCTTATATTTGGCTATAGTCTGGTGTCATACTTCATGAGACACTTCAGTATAAGTACCATCCCTGTTCTACAAACAACAAAACAATCATATCTCTTATATTTGGCTGTAGTCTGGTGTCATACTTCATTAGACACTTCAGTAGAAGTACCATCCCTGTTCTACAAACAACAAAACAATCATATCTCTTATATTTGGCTGTAGTCTGGTGTCATACTTCATTAGACACTTCAGTAGAAGTACCATCCCTGTTCTACAAACAAAACAATCATATCTCTTATATTTGGCTATAGTCTGGTGTCATACTTAATTAGACACTTCAGTAGAAGTACCATCCCTGTTCTACAAACAACAAAACAATCATATCTCTTATATTTGGCTGTAGTCTGGTGTCATACTTCATTAGACACCTCAGTATAAGTACCATCCCTGTTCTACAAACAACAAAACAATCATATCTCTTATATTTGGCTGTAGCCTGGTGTCATACTTCATGAGACACTTCAGTATAAGTACCATCCCTGTTCTACAAACAACAAAACGATTATATCTCTTATATTTGGCTGTAGCCTGGTGTCATACTTCATTAGACACCTCAGTATAAATGCCATCTGTTCAACAAACAACAAAACGATTATATCTCTTACATGTGGTATACTTTAGATACACTTAATTTGTCTCCCAGTTTCAATTTAGCAGATTTGAAAAATCCACCATTTAAAAAAAATTTAACTTGCGAAAGTATTCACGTCAGTGATATAACAAGACCTACTATAAGTTGTACACATGAATCTGAAATTTCCAGATCAATGATTAAACTTGAGCTCAGTCCTGACTCCGACAAATTAAATAGCCGCCAATATTTGAAATCAAGCAAATCGCCAAATGAAGTAGCATCAAATTAAGTGTATGTACAGGTTATCATTGTACACTTTTCTATACAAAATATAATTGAAATCATTTTCCTAGTATTTGAGTTATTGCTCAAAGAGACAGATTGATTTACAGACTTACAGACTGACTGACAGATGGAGGGCTTCACTTTATCCCTACAAGACCTTTTTCAGGTTAAACCTACCAATATTAAAAACTGTTTGTGGGGCTGTATCTGTGAAGCATTCTTAGTATGTGGTTTGGTAGGTGTACTTTGGGCATTAGGACGACCTTTCTTAAACCTAGGAGGTGGGGATGAGGATTGTGCTCTGGGGTCTTTATCTTTGGTGGTTTTCCCATTATGTTGTTTTTTATCATTTGCTAATGCGGATGTCAACTTCATTCCTGGACCCAATCCTACATAATCTTGGAATTCTTGCTGGTTCTGAAGGGCAAACTGCTCCTGTTGTTTTTGTCTCTCATTTGTAGAAAGTGGTTTGGTCCCACTAGTTAGAAGTTTACTATGTTTGGTCTGCTGATGTTTATGTTGTTGGTATGGAGACACAGAATGTTCATGAGTATCACGCTGGTTCAGTTTCCTGGATCTCCACTTTCTCAAATGTCTAGAAAACATAATCATGAAGGTCAGCATAATGAAGCATTTGGCAAAAAAACATCATAATCAATGATTTTGAATGAGTTACACAGATACAAAATACTTTGCTTTTTGTTAAATTTTAAGCAATTTAACCCTGCCGTGCAAAAGGTGCCACATTTGGCATAGATTCTTTGATTAGGTAGCATCAATTGAAAGTCACATCAAACTACACTAAAAACTGTTTAGTCCAAACATCACTGGGAGCCAAGTGTTCAGATTAGCAATTGTTCACATTTGGATTAGAGAGGTGTTCATATATACAAGTTTTACTTTAAGGAACTTACTTTACAAAAGGCATAACCATAAAGAAGGAGTTTGGATTGAGACCAAGTTTTTCTTTAGAGACCTCATCTTTCTTGTGTTTTGGAAGATGTTCAATCTCAAACCATTCAAGATTCTGAAAATAAATTGGTAGTTTCTTCTGAGTATATATAAATATATGAAGCATATATACAGTGGACTCAACAGAATTTCTCTTCATTTTTTACTCAAATTAACTGGACAGAATGAAAAGGACCATCTGAAGTTTTTGGAATACACTATAAATCTAAAATTAAGCAAAATGTTTACTGCATCATTAGTGAGAAAATAAGAAAAAATAAACTTCCAAAAAAACAGAGTTTATTAAACATAAATTCATTATAAAACATAGATTCATGGAATCAATCTTAGGTTTAATTACGTGGGTGAAGCCAGGCGTGAGGCAGACAAGACAAATTTGCAACTGCATAAAAAACAATTTTCAATAATTAATCTTTTCTTCAACTCAACCTAAAGAAATCCAAGGTTAGTTAGTAGTTACTTACTTCATTTTCATTTTGATTCATTATCAATTTTTGATCATGACTATGCCCCATAAATACCTTGATTTCTTTCCTTGTTTTAGGCATGAATGCTGTATCCATGGGCACCCCAGGGACAATGTAGAGTCTGGTCACCTGCTCATTGATTTTAAGCTCTATGTGTTCATGTTTGTCTATTAATCCACTAATATCATAACCAGTCTCTTCTAATACCTGAAATGCAAGCATGTATTACAATAATGCAGAAGATAATTTTGCAACACTCTGACAATAATAACAATAATACAGAATTTTTAAAAATGTAAAAATAGTAAAAATATGTTAGTTTTTCTTTATGTAATTAATTTTAAGATTTCATGATTTTCCGGAATATATCATCACGATATCCTCCGGTTATTCATTTTGCCAATAGATACCAAATTTATTTTTCAATGATATTATACATTTAGCACATCCTATGATTTATGAGTGATATGATTTTTCTCCACGAATGGATACGATACGCTTGCTCGTGCAGATATCAATATCCATGAGTGGATTAAAATCATATCATTCTTTTTATTCCATAGTTAAGGTCATCATCAGAATTGTCGGAAAAGAAGTGATTTAATTCGAATTTTCCAAACGATCCGGCGATGTTGACACTTTTAAAAGTCTCGTTTTGAGTCTGAAGTAGCAGAAATCCATAATTCATAGCATACGGCGCCGTATGTCATGGCTTAAACACCGTATAGTATGGTTAAGTGAAAATTTGTCAAAAATATCATATTTTACCACTGATTACAAAAATACCGATTTTGTTTTGACATGATATCCTATGAATATCATGCTAACTATGGTATAAGTCATTTCATATATGGCATATTGTTACCTCTCTTATTGCACAGTCGTGTTCTGCTTCCTCTTCATTTACCTTCCCCTTTGGGAAACCCCAGCTTGCCTTGGCCCAATAACCCTGAACTAGAAGGCACTGAAACATTGTCAATAACATTGTCAATAACCCAAGCAGGCAATGAAACATTGTCAATACCCTGAACTAGCAGGCACTGAAACATTGTCAATAACATTCTCAATAACCCTGAAAACATTGTCAATAACATTGTCAATAACCCTGAACTAGCAGACATTGAAACATTGTCAATATCATAAAATTTCTACTGCATTAGATGAATGATGGACACCTCTCCATTATATCTTTGTTATACACTGATTTTTATAATATTTAATCGTAAATAATACAATGTAACATTCTCATTGAAATCTGCTGCTTGACTTAAATCACCTTGTCATTTATTCACACAACTAAAATCTGCTTTTGACATTAAATAACTCACAAATTGCAGTGTTGGGTCAACCATAATTGCTCCATAAGTGGGTACAGCCATTTTGTACTCCTTCCAGTTTGCAAGTATCTCTTCAACATTATCAGCATGCTCTTGCAAGAATGGGCAATGTTTAAATACTAGAGACGTTAAGGAGCAGTGACACATACAGTAAATCTTTATATTCCAACACCTCTCAATTTAAGTAAACGTTTTTTAGTTTCAAATCTGTATCTCCAACTGACTCACATATGAAACCTTGAAATGTGAACATCCGATAATCTGATCACTTTTGAAAGGTCCCAGTGAAGTTCCCGGTGCAATTATACTGCTTAATGTCCCAGTCGATTGTTTAAGATTATGTCTTAAGAGTTCATTTTATTTTATTTGTAATTCATAATTTCAAATGAAACAAAGTTCGTGTTTGAAGGCATCAAATAAATAAATGATTACTTATGGGAGAAAATATATTTAAAAGTAGAACAAAACAAAAATATACACAAACATCATATAACAATCAACCAGGACCCAGAACACAAAAATAGATGCGAAAACTCAGCACTCTGATGACAAAATATTTACTTTGCAATAAAAAAAATTCATAGGATTTTTTAAAGGAATAAAGGATACTTTTAGTAGCAAATTCTTTAATCCCACAAGGTTTTAGCTGTAGATTTGTCTCAGTGCAATAAAAATCAAGATAGAACCAATGCGCAAGTTCTATCTGGAAAAATATCCGAACGAGATCTTGTCGCTGTCGCTCTTCTTCTGGGATGTTGATAATAAACCGACTGAAACAACAATAACATTATAAATTAAAAATAATAAAATAACAAGACATATTGTGAACAATATAGCACTCTTAAAACCTGTAGACAACCCTTGACAGACAAAATTTTAGGATGGAAAATCCAGTGGCCACCTCAGCATAAACCAAGAATGCCCAAAAACTAATAAGTTCTAAACTTTCATACTCAAATGTTATGGATGGAAACCTGTAGAAAATATTTATCAGGAGACCCAGACTCGACCAACTGCCTGAGCACCTGCTTGGCAAACTGAAAGCAATACAGCCCCTGAAAGGTGTTATAAAAAGCACTCATATAATCGAAGGGGAGACAAAATGATTCAGGTGGAGTAGACATTTCCCTGTCTTATTGAATTGATTGCTCAGTTCATGGGTTTTCTAGAGACCTGCAGTCTGAAATGGTTTCTCGCAAAATTATGATCTCTAAAAGGGTAAATTGATTTTTAGGCATGAGTCAATGAGGTTATTTACATGTACACTGTATATGCAAGCAGAATGATGCAGTAATTTGACATTTGTCAATTTACTCAGATTTGAATAAAGATAAATGGAATACTGAAATGAAGAGGCTTCATCAACTATTTTGATTCATTCATTTTGATGTCATCAGTCTACTATTAAGTCTTCAGAGGTACAGTATGCTGTACTCAAGGGAGAATCAAACTGAAAATTGTCACTGTCCATTATGTCTAGCACTCAGACAAGGATCATGCAAGAGGTAATGAAGGTAATTTCATTCAGGAAAAATATTGATAATATGATAAAAGATTATTTGGCATTCATACAGCTTGCCACATATAAACCAGAGTATGTCAATGTACATGTAGGTCCCTCTTCTAAAACCTAGCACCATCTTGAAAAGAGATGTGATCTTTCTTAATGAAAAAGGAAAACGTCCTCATTCTGCCTATGATTAGGGATTCAACTACACTAGATTCTCCCATGTTGTAATCAGACATTGTCCTGGCATGAGATTACCCTTAAAAGAGACAGGAAAAAATATATAAATAAATAAAATGCGAACATCCAATCATTGGCCCTCCCTTAGCTCTTGTAAAATCACGGACCTGAAGAAAGTCTGTGGTAAAATGAACGAACAAACATTCCATTTTGACACATGTTTGGTAATATAACGTATCAGAACTTCTGGAAATGACAAGCCAGTAAGTTCATTTTGGGGAATTTTTATGCGAACATCCGAGCATTGGGTCTTCCCTTAGCTCTCGTAAAATGAATGAACAAACATTCCATTTTGACACATGTTCGGTAATATACTGTATCAGAACTTCTGGAAATGACAAGTCAGTAAGTACATTTTGGGGAATTTTTACAGTTCGTTTAGATTTCTTGTATTACTGTTCTCATTGTTGATCGGACGCAAAGATAAGCTGATGTAGTTACATTGGACCTCGTTTACTACCATTTGGAAGGCACATGAGGGCCCCATTCATCAGGTAACACGATTATGTCAAAGTCAAGTTCTTGCCTTTGAAGCAGCTTACTCACGGCTGTTTCCAACTGAACTTTTAATCAAATCTCCAGCTTTACTCCATGCAGCAGTAAACAAAGTCGCAGATTTATTCTGCCATTCAGTTACATGGGACTTTTTTCCAATTAGGTCAAGTTTAGAGTCTAAATGCTCAGAATGAAGTGATTTTAATTTATTCACTTTTTGATGATTAAAACAATAAAGGTATCCTTTATATTGTCCATCAAGAATTAGATGACAGCACCATATAAACAAAAAGTTATGAATTACTTTAGAACATGTGTATTTGGAAAAATATGCGGTGATATACCAGGATATCAAATATCTGCCTATGCTATAACTGCTGCAGACATTTCTGCTAGGGCTATTTACATGATGTTCAGCAGATCGCCCTTGCATATTATTTAAGACTGAAATACAGTTTTGTTTAAATTCTTTTAAAATAACTTATGATAGGGTCAATTTAAAACTTTTGCTAACAGTATTCTTATAAGGTTTATCTTTATAAGGTGTATGTTTTTATAAAAGCATAACTGTTTATAAAATGCGTCAAGAATTGAGAGTGAATTTGACTTACCAAATTGCAGCAAGGGACTATGATTAAATACCCATAAATGCGCTAATGCTCATTTCTAATCCAAATGTTAATCTAAGATAGATACTATATTATGTAAAAGTCAATCAATGAGTCACTTCAATATCACTTTACTTTCTTCAACTTTCTCCTCTTTATTTGTGGGGTAATATCCTGAAATTCTGGTTGCTGTTCAGTTCTAGTGATCATTGATACGCATGATTTTCTTAGCAAATGATGTTGTTAATAAGATCATTGTCTTATTAATGTCATATAACATTTACTGCCTATATATGTAGGGTGATACTGCGCCTCATCTAATGTTATATGAATTCCTTCTTTCGTTTTGATATTTTCAGTTACCTATTTTGCATTAATTGGATTTACCTTTCTGCTTTTCTGTAAATGTTTACTTTTGAATGTAAAAAGCTTTTTGAACAAAACTGGCAAAGTGATTCTATGGATTTTGAAAAGATTTCCAGATGCATACTTGTTTATTTAATGAAGGCCATACTAAAATCCATGTTCTGTTACAATTTACAAAGTAAGAATCTTTAAAGGAGATGGTAACTTCAGGGAAACTAAACTTTAAGACAAAGGGGTGCTGTTATGACTTCTAAATATAGTTGTGCATATCTTGAATTGTTCTTTCCTGTGGTGTGTCATACTTTAAAAACAAATCACAACTTTTTTAGATAGAGGGGTGAGAAAGTATAGACTTTACACAGATTTATGTCCATTAAATGATACCAGATTTGATCAGTTATGTCTCAATTCCTTGAACCCCTTCTAGATGTTCACATGTTAATGTTTCTACCAGGAGCAATTAGACTGTCAACAAGTTAAACAAAGTGAATCTAGCTTGATTTATTGAATGGAAGGAATACAATGAGGGGGAAATGCTACACAACTTTAGCTAAAGAAGGCATGACCCAATTTAACCGGATATGGCTAAGAGCGCATGCTCAACATCTGGTTTAGATTAACAGTCAGAATGACCTGAACTTAAGGACAAGTATTAAAGATGCCAAAAACAAGCCATTTAAACAGCCGTGTACTGTAGATCTAGCCTAACAGACAGTAGATAGCCTACATGTAATTTATTATTTTTTAAAAAATTTATAATGGGCCATTCCATTTAAAAAATGTACGGGGGGTATGGATGCACAGGCTGAGACACCCCCCCCCCAGAATTTTTTTTCTTGCTACCCCCCCCCCAGAAAATTGCATCCATACCCCCCCCCCCCCCCCCAAGAAATTTGCATCCATACCCCCTCCCCCTGGAAATTGCATTTATACCCCCCAAAACACGCTAGATCCCCCTGAGAAACAATATAAAGGGGTATAAGTTGCTCTTACCATTGAAATAGGTAATCAGTTTTCAGAATTTACAAATTAATGTTAAAGGCACATGTTCATGGAAATACACAATAGAACCACAAGTTATATCTGCACCAGCTACGCACATATTTCTTACCTCATTATTGATTAAAATCCAATAGACTAAGTGTGAATTCAGTTTGTTATCCTTATTTTCTGTGGTGTGGTTATTGCGGTGAATTGTATTGCACAAAATTATCAATTCATTTGAGGAAGCATTACTTCATAAAATAGACATTATGAAAATTCAATTAGGTAGTAAGGTACAATTAAATGCCATAAAAAGTAACACAGCATACTGTCTAGTCTAAGCACTGGTGATCCACTCGATTACGCTGGTTACCGAAACGGTTCGTTTTGGTCACAAACTGTCGGAACGTCGAAGGTACGATTTTTCTCTTTTCTTTATTTCACACGTTGTAGACAGAATTCCCACGACATTTTTTACCACAAACGTATATGAGTATCATATGTTTAAGAAAATGTGCATATATGTGCGAACAAATAGTTCAGAAGACAACAGAATCGTCGATTTAATTCTTCACTTAAGTTACATAAACGGTTTTTCGCAAAAACAGTTAAGATCTGCACTTTTAACCCAAACATGAACATATTCTATAACATATGATGCTAATACACGATTGTGAGAAAAAAAGTCGTGGGGATTCTTCCCACAACGCGTGAAATAAGGAAAAAAGAAAAATCGTACCTTCGACGTTCCGACATTTTGTTACCAAAACGAACCGTTTCGGTAACCAGCGTAATCGAGCGGATCGCCACTGCTAAGAGATATTAAAGCTAGTGGAACTTAAAAATATGCAAATTAATTTACTACCTCAGTCACTTTGAATTATAATTTAAATTAAAAAGATATGTTTGAACACCAACATTTAACATAAGACGTTTATAGTCTGAGTATTTCCAACTAAATTTCAAAAATACCCACTAGAGGATTTAGTCTACTCAATTGATTCTATACACCAGCTTGAACATTCTCTCAAAGCTACAGCTGTCTTTTGAAATACTGGTCGATTTAAAAAGTCTGCGATTTGAGACAGCCGCAACTTTTGGGCTTTGAGAGAACACATAAGCTGGTCTTTAGATTAAATTGAAGTAAGAAATATGTAGCTAGCACCGACTTTTATGTCTTTTGATAAATAACATAATGTTCTGTGGAAGCTCTGCATAAGCTGAGATTTTCTTGGCACAAGATAATTACCAGGCTTATACTCAGTCACTTAAAGCGGCTCTAAGGTCTGTGGAGAGAAAAATGGAGAAATTTTACCTTTTCTGAGCTATCGGGGTGAAGTTTGGTCCAACATCTTCTTCCTTATTCCTATTTTATAAAAATGTATGCATATGGCAATATTAATCAACCAGTAGAACTGGCAAATCGTTTAGAATCTACAATTCCATACAAGGAGTCCCACTCATAGATTTTTCAAATTCTTTCCAAGTCGACGTCGAAACACCTAGCGGGTGAAATTGAAACAAATTTTTCTGGCTGCTCGAATCGATAAAATCTCTGATAGTGTGAGTC